ATTATTTTATGTGATTATCGATTTTTTATGTCAAAAGAAATCACGCTAGTTCTTTCTTTTTAACTGAATTTGTATGATTCATTTTTCTTTTTTTTCCAACTTGGAAAGAAAAAGAGGAAAAATGAACTATACATAAATCATGCTAATAACCGTGTCTAATAACTTATAATTTTTGCAATTTTCATAATACAAAGTATGAAATGAAATATGACTCATATCAAGATACTTTTTCGACGATGTGAGATAAAAGTAATGTGCGAGTATTGATTTAATGTGTGATTTTAAGTATAATGTGTGTTTCCTCTTCTTTAAAGAAATCGTTTTCCGTCAGTTTTTCTAATTGCCGAGCAGTTTTGGTTTCTTTAAATGAAAAGCTCATGTAACGATTTGCGTCTTTAATGCGCTGTCTACTCGTTTGTTCGGCAAATGTCTTTGCTGTTCGCCCAACACGAATTCCCAAAATGTCCACTATTTTTAAAAGGCTTACAAAATCATTATTAAATATGAAAATTGCCAAAAAAATGACTGATATGACTTTAATAATGAACTTTTGCACCAAAAAACACATGTTTTGGCGTAAAATATTAAAGAAGTTTGTTTTATGAATTTCTTGTTCAAAGAATAGACTATAAGAAACATCTGTCAGTTTCAATTAAAATAGTGAACTGAATATTATTTACAAGTGTAAATTGATGAATTTTATGATATGTTTTGATGTTAATTATATGTACAAATGTAGTGTACAAATGGATTTCGTATAAAAGCAAACATAATTTTTTTAACAAAAATGTCATTGCATATTTGTATGAAGATCTCAACTGAAAGAGTCTGATTCGTGGTATCACTTTTACTATTTGTCATAATCATGCATGAGCGCGCGAAATATCAACTTTATAATTCCAATAAATCCTAATCGCTAATAATAATTTAAAACTTATTATAGCCTCGATATTTTCGCATTAGGATTTTCGTTTCGTAAAATATTTCGCTTAAAAAGAATCTGCTCTTAAAAGAGCGATATCCGGAAGTTTTGGGATACCACGTGTAACTGTAATTAAATTTAAATGATAATATTTCTTAACATTTAATAAATTTTATTTTTATTTTAGGACACTCGGTAATTTCGCCGTGGAGATGGTTGGCTGCAATTGTAATTCCACTTCTGTTTATATCTTGGGGCTTACGTAAGAAAAGTTTAGATGTCAGCGGTGGAATTCTTGGTAACAAAATATTCATAGAAATTTTAGTTCTGTATAAGAAAATATAGAATATATATTAAGCAATCAAATGATATAAAAAATGAAAATGTTTTGATTGTTTATACATTTTTTGTATGCTAAATCAGGATAAGATACTATAAATAATTAATTATTTTTCTAGGATTCTTTATAGGCTTTGTTTTGACACTTTCAAGTTTTGCTCATTTGACCGCTCTCATAACATTCTTCATCACAGGATCAAAAGTGACAAAATTTCGGTCTGCACAAAAAAGAAAATCGAAGTTGATTTTAAAGAAGGTGGCCAACGGAACTGGATTCAGGTTTTGTGTAATGGTGGCATGGCCACACAATTAGCTTTATTATATCTATTGGATGTAGGAAGTGGAGAACGGCCAATTGACTTTGATAAGGAATATCGAAGCTCATGGTTATCCATTGGTATAATAGGTAATGATCAATATTTTAATCTCTTAAAAAAATTTTTTCATAATGCTATTGCAGAAATACAATTTATGTTTCATAGGAGCACTTGCATGTTGTAATGGTGACACCTGGGCTTCCGAGCTTGGTACGGTAATTGGCACGAATGATCCTTTCCTTATTACAACAAGGAGAAGAGTCCCAAGAGGTAAGAATAATGGCCTTTTGGGATATTAGCAAGCAGGTAAATTTTTTGACAGTAAAAGGAGTTTTCTCAATCTTTCTTTTTCCTCTCCTCCCTTCTCTCCTATACACACACACACACACACACACACACACACACACACACACACACACACACAACT